ATCAAACCTCTTAATAAATGTATGACTTCCATAGTCGACCTACTCGGCATGAATCCAAATTAATTTTGAGAAACATTAGTATCACGCCACGTACAACCTATGCTTCATAACTCGCTCCCATAGTTTTAAAGTATGACACATTTACTTAATTCCTCTATAATTTGCATAATCTTGTGCATCATCTTTATTCTTAAAAATAGAGATTAACACACTCCTCCACCCATCTAGCATCTTTTCAGTCTTCAAAATAATATTAAAAAGTTTAGTAAGACAAGAAATTCCTTCTTCTCCTAAGCATTTCCACACTCTATTGGAAATTGGAATATCATCAGGTCCAATAGCTTTTTCACCCTTCATTTTCTTTAAAGCTTCTCTCTAACTTCGATTTTACTAAGACGCAGATAAAAAAAAAATTCTTTATTTTCATTTAGGGAGCTAAGGATTCTATATTTTATTGGATTTCAAAATATGTTAAAATATCTTAATATAATTTTAATAAGAATAATATTAGATTTCCATTAAAATTAATATTTTACATGGAAATTCTAAATTTTGTTCATTTTATGATAAATTCAATAATTTTCAAATATATTTTGATAAGAAGAAACTATAGAGGATTTTTTTTTTTTTCATTTAAAATAGAAGAATTCAAGCATGTTATAATTCTGGCTTCCCATTCAATGGGTCTCTTTCTGTCATATAAAAATCAAAAAAGAAATATTATGCTGCTATTAAAAATATTATTAAAAATTATACTTAAAAGTATTAATTTCATTTTATTTTTTAAAAAATTATTAATTCATATAATAAAATGCCTTTGTGACAGGAGCTTATGAAATTTTACGGCTGAGACTAGAGAATAATAAGCGCGCAATAGCCCATAAAGCCAAGCCCAAGAATTATTGGGCTTACATAAACTAGTACAGTTGGCCCATTAATCCAACTGGTTAATTCAACCTCGATTACAAAAACCATAAAAACTATTTCTCTCAATATGACTAATTTTAAACTATTTTGTTTCAAATTATAATAATTTATATATTATATATTCAAATTAAACTTTTTATGTGATTATTTAGGTTAGTATTTTTCAACTTTAGAGCACAGATGATTGTGCTCGGTCCACTATCACCTTATTACACTACGCCTGTCAATGTTATCAGTTGCTGTAGTCAACTGTATTGATGCACGTTGTTACCTATAAGGCCACTGAACATTGTCGACGCTAATACTAATGCAAGTTAACTTCGTCGCTTATTGTCGTCGATAATATCTCAATACATGTCACCCACACTACAAGAAAGTCGGCAGTTTGCAGTGGTCTTTACGGTGGATTATTTTTTCTTGAAAATGGTGAAGAAATTGTGGCAGAAATTTTCGACGAATTTGCTGCTGAATTTTCACTCCCAATTTGAGGCTGAAATTTTCGTCGTATAAGAAAAGCTTCGTAGTTAGTTGTTTTTTAAACATTGGAGAGCTAAATAACAAAGGCCAATAGGCCATCCATATTCATGAACAGGATAATTTATTATCTTGTAAGAGAGAGAGCAAATAAAATTGTAACATTGTTGAAACATTCTATGATAATTTATTATCTTTTATGATCCTCTTTGTGCTCTTTAATTACTTTTTGGTTATTTTTGTGTTAGTATAAAACATTGCTACAATAAATGATTTTTTTGGCATATAATCAAATAGATTCTCTAACATCAATGTGATTTTCCTAAGCCTTTCTCTTCTCTCAAAATATCATTAGGACAATTTTTATTTGTTATTATTTTCAAAAACTTTTTGTACTAATAAATTGTTTTCTAAATCAGCTTAAAAAAAACGATGAAATCGTTTTATAAAGCATTTGAGTTTATAATGATTTTTTTTTTTATAAAATAACAGTGCTTAAGAAACTGTGAAATCATTTTCCAGTTAGTTTCTTAAGAAACTGGAAAATTAATTTTCGTTTTCCTTAGAAATCATTAAAATGAATCAATTTTGTTTTAATAAAACAATAGAAATCATAAAAAATTTCGGTTTCTTAAGAAATCGGAATATGATCGTAATTATAGAATCTGGTTTGCAATCAAAGTAGAAACCGGATAAGAAATTTTTGGCTTATATTGAAATCAGATAATTAAGTTTCGTATCTGCTCCTTTTTTAACTTTTTTTATTAACATGCTCCTTAAACTAATTTAAATTTAAAATAAACTTATTTTTATAAAATGCCGAAAGAAAATAATTTTTTTATAACAGTTTCCTAACTAACTTTACATATTGCTACCATAGTCTCAAATGGACACTAAAAGTACTTTTATTTATATAACATTTTTTATTTTCGCAAATATTCAATAAATATTTTAAAAAATTGTTGACTAATTTTATATTTTATCTACTTACAATATATATAAAATTATTCACAATTTTTAATTATTTAAAGTCACATATATATTTTGGTCCTAATCTTTTTTGAAAAATTATGCAAATTTAAATATTAAAAATAAATTAATTTGTAACAATTACAATTTACAAGCATTGCATTGCTTTTATATTATACAAAGATATTTGGAAAATAAAAATAAACATTCTCCAGAAAAAATTTGCAGGACAAATGTAGCTCAAATTAATCCTAAAATAAATAAATAAATTTACATATAATGATCCCTCCTCATTTCCCCTAATCGCAAGGCTCAACATCCCCCAAATGAGAAGAAAAGATCAGGAAAGGTCGAAGCGGCAGCACGATCGCCACGGCAAGAGAGGAATCGAAGCTCTCGAAGTTTTCTCCGGCAGACGCCGGGGAATTCCCCTACCTTCCGCCTGATCGGCTTCGAAATCGATGTCGGAGAAGGAGGACGAGAATCCCGATAAACTGCGACGGCCGCCACAGCACGAGGCGTCGGCTGCGGTTTTCCTCACCCTGTGAGAGACGCGGATTGGTAGCCGCACACAGCAACAGAGCGTCGCGATGGGGCAGCAGATGCAGATCCCGCAGGCACCGGCGGCGCACTCGGCGGCCGTGTGGCAACAACTCCGAGGCGGTGGATCCGTCGGAAGGTTCACTGGCGGCGTACGGTGAGGATGGCGAGCGAATCCCATGGGGCGGAGATGGAATGTTGGAAGAGTGGGAGGTCTGGTGGGCGGGGTTTTGTGGGATTCGGGTTAGGGTTCCGTCGTCAGTGGGCATCGGAAACGGCAAGCGTTTGGCGGCCGCTATTATGCTTTCGTGTGTTCCGCTTCGCCGTTTCCGTAACGGCTGCTATTATGCTTGCGAGCGCATCTCTTATTGGTTCTTTCTTTCTATATATACTATGTAGATTGACATAGTTATAGTCTATTTAAATAAATTTTATGTTGTGGGACTTTTTATTTTATTATAATGAGATAAATCGTTCAATTGAGAGTTGCCATGGGGACTATTCTTGTATTTAAAAAAAAGCATATATTCAAAATAAGTCTTGTTGCGGTCTAGAATATATGCGACAATAGAGTTAGAAAATTTCCGTCTTAGCGTTGTACGGATATCTAGCACACAAAAAGAGGAGAAATAATAACACCAATATCTTTACATGGAAAACCCTGGAAAGGGAAAAAATCACGGGGTCACGCTCAGTTGAAAAGATTCCACTAGTGTTTGTTTGAAGTACAAGATGCTAATTCGTTCTTAAAATTTAGGACGATCAGATTACAATACTTCACTTCCGGATTGAAATCCTATTACAATGTCGGGCAAAGTTCCGGCGTCACTTGGGCGTCGGGCAGAATTCTAGCTTTACTTTGGCGTCGGGCAGAATTCCGATGTCACTTGTGCAGAATTTCGGTGTCACTCGGGCGGCGGGTAGAACTCCGACGGTGGTCGATGAGTTATTCCCTCCTAACATTCGCTTCTCTTCTTCTTGCTTAGGTCCCCCCTCAAGATAAATGAGAGGTCTATTTATAGATATTATGGAGTGGCATAGCTTGTAAATAGGTGTGAGATTAGGGGTAAATAGGGAGTGGTCGAATGGATGGCTGATATTGAATCCCTTGATTGTGCAGTGTTTGTCAGACATTTGAAGGTCTTAATGATGTCGGAATTCGGCGATCTACGGCTCGTTGGATTCGTCTCGTCGAGCCGATTGATTCGACTATAAGAACGTCATATTTGGAAACTGTTTGGTAACTCAAATTATGGTTTGAACTTTCCAATAGTGCTTCGGGTGCTTGATTTGGACTCATTTGGGCTCGGATTGAGTCGAATTTGGTGTCGTTGAGTTTGTATTTCAGAGACGCTCAGTTTGACAGTAAGTTCGCTGAAATCGGAGTTTAGGTGATCCCAGATTTAAATTTTGAAATTTCCGGCTTGATTTTGCCTCGAGATTCGTGCCCGATCAAGATGATTTTTGAGGATATATCAAGTGTGTTGAGATATGTCTCAAGAATCTAATTCAAAAGATGTTAATGTTTTGTTGGGGACATTTTTTAGCATATTTTTTGTTGTTTTTTATAAAAATTTTGGGCTAAAAAGCTGCTTTTGAAAGCATAAGAAAGACATCCCAAACTAAGCTTAAGTTGAAGAGCATCATAACATAATCAATTCATAAAAAAATGTGGACTGGTCAACTTCCCATGAGTCGAGGAATCCTTAGTTGAGTCCAGTAGGCTCGGAGGAAGAGGACCTAACTGAGATGAATTGCGATATGTTTGTTTGATCAGGAACTTTACGGTCGCCAATTTTAGGATGAGCTCCTTATAACCTGATGTGAATGAGTGACACTCGTTGATATCTTTGGGGAATTTTCTTTGTGGTCCTAGGTGAGTCCTTGGAGAGTTCTGCTTCTCAGAGAGAAGACTCTTGTCATGACACGATCTCTACCTATTAAAATTCATGCGAAGGTGATTATCGATATGCATAATTAAGACATCTCCTCATTAGTTGATATTCTACGTTAAGATTGAATATGCTAATAACGAATGTCAAGTCGTGGATGATAGTGCACCCGAATCACAAATGCATCAATGGTTACTTGAACATGATCTAACTCTGTGGGTCAATTGCATCCTATTTATGATCGGTTGCTTCATGCTACGAAATATATATAGGCGCGAGGTTCAATAATAGTACTTACCACTACTAAAGGGTGTATTACTTTATAGCACAAATTTTGAGTATAATGCATGTCTATTGTAATATAGTTCCTCATATGTAGATAAAATAATACCTAATAAATGAAAGAAAAAGAAAAAAAAACTTATAAAGTTGCTCAAATTTTAATTATAATGTATTATCATTTTAGAAATTGTGAAGATAAATTATGGAGCAGAATATGGGATCAAATCCTCAATAAAACCTAAGATCTATCTGGGAAAATGACAGTGTCCAATGAATCGAAATAAATAATTGCTTTCAAAATAATCACAGACCTGATACAATTAGATAACCAATTGCTTTAAAAATCGCATGCGAGTACGTTGAAGGGCTGCCATTTAGTCAGGTGGATAGATCACAAAGAAAGAAAATTGACGTCGTCCTTGTTCCGACGAATCCTCAGGTTAATACCTCATCGATCAATCTCTCTCCTTTTCATTTTATATTTCATCTGATTTCTCGTCAAGATCCAATCTTTAAACATAAAAACTCTATCTTGCAGCACTGGTACAGGAGGAAGAAGGTCGCCCTGCTTTTCCACTGATGAATAAAGCTGCTGGTTTGGCCATCGAGGACTCTCTTGGCCCAACAAATTTGGGATCAGACCCTTCAGAGATAGTTCGTCGAGCAGCTTGGGAGCATTTCGCTGGATTGGCTTTGTTAGTCAGATTTAGACCTAGCATTTGCACTCCTGCAGCAGAAACTGAGGAAAATGAACTCCCATTGGAACTCATGGTTGAGGTCTGATATATATTAACTTTTGTCTCCATAAAGCTTCCAAAACAATAAGCTTCAACTGTAGGAGCCGAGAAGCGAAGCACCGAGGTGCCTATTTGCTCTACGGAATGAGTGAAATTATCTCATCTATCACTTGAGCTTACCAAAAGACTTTTACGACTTTGATCGCCATCCACAGCCTTTCTTCTTCGACGTCAATAGTCCTCAACAACCCATCGTCTTTGATTTCGATTGTCATCATCAGTCAGCCCATTTTCTTTGGCATCGATTGTTATTTACAACCCACCTTATTCTGCTTCGCTCATTGTGGATAGCCATCTTTTCTGCAGTCCATCATTCTTCATGAGCTTCAAGCTTTAATACTAACTGATGTTGTGGATCGGTACAAGATTGGATAGTCTAGAACAAACACCAAATAGGAAATCAAATAACAAGCTCAATGCTCAAAACAATAATATATTCTTCATTCCCTTACATCCTATAAAACCTTCTATATATGATATATCAAAAGAAATTCCTAGAAATTTCTAAAAAAAACATGCAACAAATTAGATCTATACTGTTCCCAAACAATACTATAGCTGAGATGATCCACATCGGCATATGTAATCAACAGTCAAAATAATTTAGAATTCTTTGCGCACGTCCACCCGTGCGCGTTCGCTCGAGCTTCCCTCTCGAGGCACCAGGTTGCTCTGCGCCCACCTCGCATGAAATCATGACCCATCTTCGGCACCTAGTGTGCTGACGTCTATTGTGCGAGCCTCACCTCCCTTTAGCCTCTAGCCTATGCACCCAAGGCTCTGCCTTCACTCCTGCTTCGGTGCGCAATCCAATCCCGCATAATTGACTATGCATGCAGGACTTGCTCCGATGCATGTCATCGACATGCGACCACCTCCTCTCTTTCTTGATTACAAGAATCATCCTCCTTTTCCCCTTTGATCTTGCTGACCAGAAATTTTTTGAGAAAGTGAGGTTTCTTCTTGGAGAGAGAGAGAGAGAGAGAGAGAGAGAGAGAGAGAGAGAGAGAGATTTTACTATTCCCTTTTATTGGCTTGGGATACAACATACATCAACATACATAACCATTTGTGACCTCGATCCTCAAATCAAAAGCATATTACATTCAATTTCATCATAAAATCACATTGATTGTTGCATATTCTTGTTTTGGTCCTGATTTTCTATGGCTAAAGTTTTGAAAATTGTGGTTCCACGACTTCTGTTCTAAGATTTACAAGCTGAATTTATTTTATTTCAGGAGTTTTAAAATGTAGTTATGCTGATCTTAGATTTATATGGATCTTAAATTAAATTTTTTGTTTAGGGCTCAGCTCAAACTTTAAGCTATATAGAAATAGAAACAGAAGCTACAAAATCAGAACTTTCAAAACCCTAACCCTAGAAAACCATTATCAAAACCAGAACATGTAAGAATCGATGTGGTGATATGGCGACATTGAATGTGATGCGCCATTGATTGGAGGATCAAGGTCACGAATCGAGTGACAGAATTGAGATCTCAATTTGGGAAAAGACCAAAAGCTGGTTATTTTCCTATCAGCTCCATTTTTTTTTTTAAATTGTAAAGCGGTAGCTCGGAGCCTCAAATCAATCCATCGTCTTGTGCGAAATTCAATCTTCTTTCTCTGTGTAAAGAGGATCCGGCCAAAGAGGCCATTGCCGCCCTCATTTAGTCAAGCAGATAGATCTTAATCACAAAGAAAGAAATTTGACGTCGTCACGAACCCTAAAGATAAATAATTGCAGGAAGTAAATAAATACCTCATCGATCAAGCTTCCCTCCTTTTCCATTTTATGTTTCATCTATTAATTCCTCGTCAAAATCCAATCTTTAAGCATAAAAATCCTATCTTGCAGCACTGGTACGAAGATTTTCGCGGGGCAAACGAGGTCGAGGAAGACGAAGATCTCCCTGCTTTTGCACCGATAAAAAAAGCTACTGGTTTGTTGATGGTCCAAAGATGGTCCCTTTCTACTGTGAGTATTCTAATTCTCTCTTTAATGTTTCAGATCAAGTGTTTGTTTCTTCAGTTCTTGATTTCATTTTATTTTTTGCTTTTCTTATTTGCAGAGATGGAAGGTATCAAAACGCTGTTATCAGTTCCATTACAATATAACAGAATAAGCAGCTTCAGGAGTTATTTCAGCAGTTGTTTAATGGAGATTTGGAAGGATTTTTTTTTGTCTGAATAAGTAATCATAGTCATAATTATCTAATAACAACCTATTAAAACACCTAATAACAACCCATAAACCAATTCATCTATTTCATTAATTTATAAATTACATTATTCACACTAACATTCAATTTCCCAGAGAAATTTTTATAGTCAAACAAAAAAAATTAATGATAAAAGGTAAAGAAAATGAAAATGAAAATTTTTATTAGGTCATGATTATCAGAAGTGAGTGCCATTGATTTTTTATTTTTTATATGGAGACTTACACTTTATTACTATATAAAAGCCTATTAATTAATCATATATTAAAGATAAATCAGCTTTTTGCCCCTTTTGGTCTTCTCCCGAATTGAGATTTGGATTTTGAATCGTAAGCGCATCATGTCCAGTTTCATCATACCATCACATCGATTGCTGCCTATTCTTGTTTAGGTCGTGGCTTTCTAGGATTAGGGTTTTGAAAAATATAGTTCTATGACTTTTGTTCGATTTCTATGGATCTTAGATTTGCAAGCTAATCCTGCTTTATTTTTGGTGTTTTAAATTGTGGTTCCATGACGGTCCTCTTAGATTGCTATATATCTCAAATAGAATTTTTTGTTGAGGGCTCAGCTTGAAAATCTAAGATCTATAAAAATTGAAACATAAGTCAAGGAACCACAATTTCAAAACCCTAACCCTTGAAAACCGGAATTTTGTTAATATTAATGATTGAGAGAGAATGTAAACATCCAATGTGAAGATAAGGAATGAGAGTGAAGAAAATGTTATTGTTGCTACCATAACGGTCTTTTCTTCTCGTTGGTAGGAGTTCAAACAAGAACATCTCCTTGCTATAGCTAAAAGCTTCTTCTTTTCATTAAATCAAAAACTACCATCATCTCTTTCTTCTTAAAGGAGAAGAAAAGCCCCTCTCAAAAGCACCTACAAAATTCCTCTCTCTCTCTCTCTCTCTCTCTCTCTCTCTCTCTCTCTCTCTCTCTCTCT